AGAAAGTGAAACTCTGGATAAGTGGGAACTACTGTACCTAGGTGGCATTGGGTAAGGCACCAACAAGAAGGGTATTGTTGTTTGTATCTGCAAGATGAGCGTGTTGGACTAGGTGGAATGATTCAGGTTTCTTTCACTATTAGAATTCTCTTCATTCTGTGTTCTGTAACATGGTATCAGAAACTTTTTTATCTTAATTTTTTATTTTAAATAATTTAAAATACTCCTTAAAGTAGATAGAACAGTATAATGAACACCCAGGGACTCATCAAACAATCTCAGCAATCACCCCTCCATGCCAGTCATGCTCCTTCTACACTTCCATCCACTTACCCTTCTCCTGTATTATTTTCAAACAAATCCCAGACATTAGACTCTCTTTATTAACATGATCCCTCTGTTATCTGTATTTTTAGCACCTTGAGGTCTTAACATTTTTATTCAGTTTTTAACAAGCCTCAAATTGCCTCACTGTTCCTATGCTTTCCATTTTTTAATTGAAATTTTTTGAGATAACTATAGATTCACATTTAGTAATAAGAAATAACAATCCCATCTACCATTTACCCAATATCCCCCAGTGGTAACTTCTTCTAAAACTATAGTATAATATCAGAACCAGGATGTTGACATTAATACAATCCACTGACCTTATTCAGATTTCCCCAGTTTGACTTGTACTCATTGTGTGTATCTGTGTCTGTGTATTTGGTTCTGTACAGTTTTATCACATGTGTAGGCTTACATATCCACCACCATGGTCAAGATACAGAATAGTTCCATCACCACAAAGATATCTCATGCTGTCATGTTATAACCAGCTCTCTGCCCTCCAGTCCCCCAACACTAATCTGCTGGTTTTCACTTCAAAAGTGTTGTCACTTCAAAAATGTTATATAAGTGGAATCACAGTATATAACTTTTGGAGATTGACTTTTATCACTTAGCATAATTCCCTGGAGATTCATCCAGGTTGTTGTGTATATCAATTGTTTGTTCCTTTTTATTTCTAAATAGTATGGTATGGATGTACCACAGTCTGTTTAACCATGACCTGTTGAAGGACACCTCATTGTTTCAAATTTTGGGCTATTCTGAATAAAGCTGCTATGAACATTCATGCACAGGTGTTTCAATGCTCTGGGATAAATCCTTGAGTGCAATTGGTAGGTTGTGTGGTAATTATATGTTTACTTGTATGAGAAACTGTCATATGGTTTTCCAGAGAGGCTATACGCCATTTTATAGTCCAACCAGCAATATATGATCTAGTTTCTCTGTCTTCACCAACATTTGGTGGTGTCCACTATTTTGTTTATTTTAGCCATTCCGACAGATGTTTAGTGATACCTCATTATAGTTTTAATTTATATTTCCCTGACTGGCTAAGGATATTGAATATCTTCTTTATGTGCTTATTTGCCATTGGAATATCCTCTTTGGTGATATTTTGCATCTCTGCTCCTCCATTTACTTCTTTTTAGTCTTTAGGGTGGTGTGAGATTGCTGGTAAATTACCTATGAAGTTTGTTATAATGTACTTACATAGGAGGAAACTGATCTTCAGACTGAAATAGAAAATGTTGCTTACTAGGGTTCTTAGCTCTGTACTAGAATCTCCAGGAATACAAAAATGAGTAAGAGAAGAACCTTAGTCTTGAAGTTCTAAAACCATCTGGCACTTTTAACTGGAAAAAAAAAGCAGAAAATGTGTAGAAGTCTGAGATTTCCAAATTGCATGAATTCAAGGAATGATATTTTCATGGTCATCATAAAGGTGACCACAAATGATGGAAAGATCCTAGCAGACACAAACGAAGGATTCATCTAATATGAATAAAGCATGCAAAAATGTCACTGTACGTAGATGACTGCCCAAAGCAACACTGGGTGACATAGTAGCAGTCCTAATTAGAGGACAAGTACCCCTGGCCTTCACAACCCACAAAGGCACTCAGCTGCCAGTGAGAACAGTGACTGGAGTGAGACTTCTAACAGGATTTTCAAGAAGCTTGTTCTGTCCTCTCCCTCTTATTTCTTGAGCCTCCTAGAGAATATGGATCTATGCCTAATTGATCACCAGTTTCACATACCTGATGTCAACCCCAGCACATTACTGAGTGCTTAATTTCAGTTTGGGTGAAGAAATTTTTTTCAAAAATTGTATCTTTACTAGCAGCACTGGGTCTCAGACAGTCTATTTCTGCACTTTTCTGTAGAAATTAATGACCCAAATCCTTCGATTCAGTATGCACTTAAGAATTGCACAGTGATGGTCTAAGAAGAGAAATGGCTCAATAGAGAAGATTAGAGAATAAACACACACACACACACACACACACACAGAGCGAGAGAGAGAGGTATGGTGACATTTAAAATCAGTGGAAAGAAGATGAACTATTGAAATCATCTAGGAGAATTTCTTACCTCACACTATATACAAAACAAAAATCAGTTGGATTAATGATCTAAATTTTAGTTTAAAAACGTGTATATAGTAAAGAAATTTAACATCTTTATAATTTGTAAGACTGAGGTGGGATACAGCAGGAGGCCTTCTGATGAAGACATGTTACTTAGAAGCTATAAACAGAAAATGTACAGATTTGACTACGTGAAAGTTAAAAAGAAAACCCTTTGTGATAAAAAAGTACAACAAACAGTTGAAAGAAAACAGAGAGAAAGTGTTTTATATATATGTGTGTACATATGTCTATATTTCACATATATCCTTGCACACCTATTTTTCTATGGTGCAGACATACATATTTATCTCTAATAGTAAGTTATTATTTCCAATATACAAACAATTTATATAATTCAATAAGAAAAATGCAAACATTCAGAATATAGTAGAGTAAAAACAAGCAAATCATGGGAGAATACAAATTACCAATAAACATATGAATAGCTGCTTGCCTTCACTAGTAAGTAACCAAGAAACTAGAAATTAAAACAATAAGAAATTGATACTTAAAAATTCATCAGTAGGCAAAAATTAAAAACAATATTCAGTATTTATTGGACATAGGAAAAGAGCATTCTCAGACATTTTTGCTGGGAATATAAATTGATACAGCCTTTTTCTGAGGATGGAATTTCTGAGATTCAGTATCTCTTGAGATTTAAAATGCTCATACCCTTTGATACAGTGATTCCACCCTTAGGAATCTGCACCATAGAAAAAATAGAGGTGTGCAAGGATATATGTGCTGTGATACTCATTGCAGCCTTATTTGTCAGTAGCAGAAAACTATAATCAACCTAAAATATCTAGCAATATGGAAATGTTAAAAAAAAAAAAACTATGGTGTGGTCATGCAGTGAAATATAGAGAAGGCATTAAAAGGCACTAAATCTATAGCAGTGACTTGGCAGCACGTGGCAGGATGCCCATGAGTGAAAATATCCACTCTAGGATCATATGTATATATAGCAGGATTTAAGCAGGGGCGGGGGTGGGGAGGAGGTGTATATGTGTCTATGTGTTTGTGTGCCAAAAATCAAAAAGTCTAAAAAAATACACTCTGGCCTGTTAATGATGTATATGAGGTATAGGAGTGCTGGGATGAGGGGAATTTCTTTTTTTCTTTTATGTACTTGTGCAATATTTGTAATTTTTACCACCAAGATAGAATTATTTTATAATATTAAGAAAGAAAGGAAATTATAAATGCTAAGCAACCCAATTATTAACCAAAAAGAAAGAATTTGGTTAAAAGAATTGATGTAATAGAAGGTACAGATACCTATGCCTAATGAAAATTTAAAAACAAAACAAAATACAAAACTCTTTTTCTTGCTACTGTATTAATTTTCTGTATCTGGCATATTTATTTCCATAATTTCTCTCTGGTTATTTTATTGTGTTTAATTGATGGTGTTTACTGGAGTTTAGTGAAAAATATTTTGTAAACATCTCCAGTTGTGATTTATCCATTGTAATATCTCCCCAGTGAACTGACTGTGAGTAGAGAATTACAGAATTATCTGTAAAGGAGATACAGATCTTGAAAGTAGTCTGGGGCTTTGCTTATCTCCACAGGAAACCTTATTTCATATTGATAAAGTGTGAAATCTTTCCTTGGTTATTTCTGATTGTTCATTGTTGTTACTATTTTAATGAGAGGTAGAAATGAGCTAAACCAACCTGCTTCATTCCTTCTAGTACTAATTTAATTTCAAAGGAAATTCTTCAACCCCAATAAATAAGTGAATGTGGATGGAACCAGACTCTGACTCAACATGTCCAATTAATTGCTTCTAAACAGTAAGATACATTCTTTTAAAGGCCCCCAACAAAAAACAGTAAAAAATGATCACGTGAGACGTGAGATGACTATCATCATCTCTGCTTACAAAACTCTGTTTCCAAAGTTGACATTAATATTTGCCATCTACTCTATTATAAATCAAGATTTATTGTAGAAATATGCCAAAGATAGCACAATAATGAGGAAAACAGAATCATCTCAGGTTTTGAAATATACCTAACAAATTCAACCTCTTGCAAAATAACTTTCTTATTCAAAATGGAACTGGGAATTGTTCAGCACACAATGAATCATCTTTTGGCAAGTACAATAGAATCTTTAGGGACATTTCACAGCCTCTTGTTCAATTGTTAGGATGTTTTTAGCTTTCACAGGTAGGGAAGAAGGTAGCTTGTATAGCCATCATCTTGTTGCTAAAATTGTACAGTAAAGATTTTTCAGGCAATAGATCTTTTTGGATTTTTTTTCCTTTCTTTTTCTTTATGCAGAGCTTCTTTGTGTCTCAAAAACAATCTGGAATTACTTAATGCTAATGTTTTCTGGTTTTACTATTTACCCAGGACTCAAATGTTAAACATTAATATGGGAAACTCCCTTTTCCTTGTCTCATAGCCTTATATTTATTTAACTGTTATTTTGCAAGAAGAAAATCTCCTCTTTTCCTCTCCATGTTAGTACTTTTCTTATTAACAAACCCATTTTCATTTTGTTTTTGCTTTTTTTCAGGAGGCTTTCGAGCTACCCTCAGATGATTGTGAAGTGATTGAAACTGCAGCAGCATCCAAAGTGATTAAATATGAGTATCATGTCTTATATTCCTGTAGCTACCAAGTGCCTGTACTTTACTTTAGGGCAAGCTTTTTAGGTAAGACCATGTCTGAAGCTGAAAGTAAATTTATAACATTTACATATAAAGCAAAAAGCATATTCGAAAAATTATTCTCCAGAGGAAAAAAAATAGAGTTAAAAATAAGAAAACTGTGGGTGAGGTAAGGTTTTACCAGTAAATTTTCTCATGCTTCAGAAAGGGTATCAAGACTTGAGCGTGAATGATATCATCCCAGCCCTAAGTCTGATCTTCAGATTCTTGGCCTTTTGCCTGAAGTTGACTAAGCCCCCTGGCCCTTTTTCTTTACTTTAAACATGTAGGAACAACTTAAAGCTACAATGTTTATTTACTTCTAACTTTACAGTAAAAATTTCTTTTAATCTCAGATGATCCCATTAACTCAGAAGCCCCTGTGCCTCCTTCCCCAAAAGCTAATAATTATTTTAAGAAATGTTTATCAATTAGCTTAAGCTGTATTCAAAAATATCACTGACATTTCCTTCAGCCATGTATACATCTCCAATGCCTTAGCTTCCTGCGATGCTGTTACTCAACTCATTCCCTTGCCAAGAAGGTGGAACACCCTGTCTCCTTGGAGGCCTTAGCTAATAAAGCTTATTTAATCAGCAGCCACATGGCGTCCTCACCGTGCAGCGCAGCCATGACTTCCCGTTTAGAGTCCACTGCCTAAACCGGGTCAGCATTGGGATGTGCTGCCACCCAGACCCAGGGACCAAGAGGAGCCTCCTGTTCCGCCAAACCCTTGCCCTATTTCTCCTTTTGTATCTGGCTTGTCAGCAACATTATGCATTTTGAACAGCCTTCTAACTTTTTTCTGGATAGCTAAGACATCTGAATTTAGCCAATGATATTTTATTTTTAATTAAAAAGTAGCTTAAGCTGCTTGAATGTGTGTTTGGTAGATTTAATCACTTGCTGCCTTATATTGTTTAATGGTCTCTAATTTTGCAGTGTTGGCAGTTTAACAAGCACTTAGGATTTAAAACACAAGAAGAAATTCTCATAGACTCCCTGGTGAGAAGATTTTAATCTGAGGTGCAGTTCCTAAGAACTGACAATTTGGGGTAAATTTTCAACATGGGACATGGGGAATGGAGGACACTGATAGTTCACTAATTCACAAATTCTTGCTGTGGATTTATCCATATCATTATTACAAGCCTTTAAAACACTCATTTTATGGTAATTATATTTGGTTTAGAGCCCAGAGGTTAAAGGAAGTTTTTTGTCAGTGAGCTGTGCTATACTAAAAAGTAGGAGATACATTTGTTTATTCATGGGGAGGAAAATGTCTTTCTTGGTTCTGGTTTGCAATGACTCTGCCTTCTAGATTCAGAGACAAGTCGAGGCTGCAGGTAGAGGAAGTAGGACATTACTTCTTCAATACTGTACTTTCATATAATTAGTATTCACCATAAGCAGTTAATCACCAGAGAAGAGCTCCCAGAGACAAAACAAGTTGTTTAGCTTGTCAGCATTAGGGAATCAGAGGTGTTGAAACATGACTGCTTCTAGCTGGAAGTGGGTCTTGCCAAGGCCGGCTGATGAGCTCATATGTGTGCTTTGCTCTTATGTGCCAACAGCTCCCCTTACAGTACAGCACAGTAATTGTTCCTGCAAGTCCAATTATATTTTAATGACATTGGTGTAGTTTCTGTGATCCTTTCTTCATGATTTTCTATTCTTTTAAAAAAACACAATTAGCATTCTTGGCTTCTATTCGTATACTTTTACAATGCCCTCCATTTATGCCTTATAAAGGTAAACCAAAACAAGTCATTTATTTTTATGTGGAAGCATTCACCACCCCCGCCCCGACCACTGCTTTGTGTTGTATAGAGTGGGTATCAGGAATTTAAAATTTTATTTTGGCCCAGAATTCATTTAGTGCTTGTTCAGGTACCTTAAAATATCAAATTTAATTTTTGTGCAGCATACTGAATGCTTTCTGGTGGAGAAACATGAAGAATGGTTCTTTCTTTCCTTTATCATATTCTAATAATTTATTTTTTCTTTCCACCTAACTTAACCTCATGGATATTTTTAAAATGTATCAACCTTTACTCTGGAGTCACAATTTTTCATTTATTCCTCTCAGTCTTTTTTATTCTCCTTACCTTTTCCTGTGATATCTGATTACTCTGACCCTTCGTCTGTTTGTTAAACATATCTCTGTCAGTGTGGTGAAAGGATTCCTAATGTCTTCCTCTTATTCCAGGCCCGGATTTTTCTTTGTCTCATTCTAAGAGAGTTCCGACCTAGAAAGAGGATGACTGTAAAATTTCTTGCCCAGGGGTCTTTTTTTTTTTTTTGTTGCTTCAAAAATAGTTCACTTAGCCTTGTTTTTGACAGATATTTATAATTTCTTTTGCATTTGATTGTTAGTAAAAATTAATTTCTCTGCTTTGCTCTAAATTTTCTCCCTGTCCCTATTTTTTTTAAGGAAAAGCAAAACAAGTAATAAATAGTTTCCATTTAAATTTACATTACCCTTTCTTGTATCAACTTGCTTCAATTTCAGAAGAAATCTTTACTGTTTCTTGAAATGCAAATCCCTTAGACTTTGAGTTCCTTTTCTTTATATGGTCCAGTTTCCACCAGGCCAATTACTAGTAGCCCAAGACTCAGTTAACATGCCATCTATTCTTGTCACTCCCATGTCATGCCATGTCATATCATATCATATATTCTATTATATCACAACTTGCACTATAGCAGAAATATTTGTTTATATCTATAAAATGATATGCTGGAACATAGAGCTTCAATATAAAAACAAGAGTGAAGGAAATTAATATTGAGTGCCTACAAAGTGAGAAGCTTTATTTATGGCTTTGTGTGTATATGTGTATAAGATATATGTATATATATATGGCTTATTCAACTGTGGCACAGCATCAAGTATTTAAGTGAAACGATAATGAAGAATTTCTAGCCATTTAAAAAATACAGCCCAAGAATGGAAATATTGTGATGGTGCCTACTTCAACTGCTATGCCAGGTTTTGAAGGCGGAAGTAATTCTGTTGTCTCCAGGAGACCTAGGACCCAAACCATCTATGTATCTTTACTCTTTAGTCTGATAATTTTCAGAGACTATAAGAGTAGTGGACTTAGAAAAATAGAACATCCTGAGGACTCAAAAGTGGGTATCCAAACTAGCTGAAGCAGCTGTTCCACTTCTATAAACACGCATTTTTATTTAATCCTTGAAGGCAGACAGCCAAGTTGAGACAGCATTCTGCTTCTGCCTCTCATTTCTACTACTTTGGTGTACAGGAGCTCAGTTACCAAGTAGGCAATGTGGATTTAAGAGAAGAAATAAGCCCTTCCATCCCAATATTCTGTTTTTCTCTAACTACTTCTGTCATTGTAGGTTTGGGAGAGATGGTGGGACACAGTTAATACCATTTATCACTCAGCAGAGGGTGAGACGTAATTGCACATCTGTTGAATAATAATAAATAGCCTACATTGGAATAGTGCCTTGTAGTTTAGTAAATCCACTCCCACAAAGCATTGACATCTTCAAGTGCATGCTGTTTTTTTGTTTGTTTGTTTGTTTTCTTTTTCTTTCCCCACTGTTTTTGAAGCACACCATATTAAAGAATTTTTTGTATCATGCCAAAGCCTTCTGTCCACTCCCTATCATTCTTATTCCTCGACCTTTTTATGTCTCATTTTCCCTTTTGAGGGCTCAACTTTGATCAAAGCTAGTGGCAAATGTTTCAAAGGTGGTAAAACCCTTAGGCACATACATGATGGCCTTTGCCTTACCAGAGGCCTCGGCTTAAATATTTTCTTCTTACAGTTAGCTAGAAATGTCTATAATTCTGATTCATCTCTTTCTTTTCCTTTGTTCTCAATCTCTATTGAAAAATGGACCAAGTGGCTCTTCTTATTTTCAAAACATTTAATTCTTTGGATCACGTATGGGTTCTTCTTGGGAGCTGTTTTGACATATTTCTTTAATTAGTCAGCAGGGCCATTTGAATAGAGGAGGAATCATTTCCTCCATTCAGCAAAGGAATGGCTGTCCTTTATGGAGACCATTCTATTATTGGCCCAGGAAATAAGGATATAGAATTAAAAATGTAGCCTAAATATTTCATGTGAAAGATTTGTCCACTTGTTGTAGGCCTGAAGGATGCTCATGGAGAAATGAGGCAAAAGAAATAATCAGAGAATAGTTCCTTCTCGAAGGCAGCATGAACCAAACTAAGATAAAGGCCAGGATAAAGAAAGAATAATGGAAAGTTTGGAATTAAAGCAGCATATAAATCATCAAGGAGGAAAAGGATTGTCCATGGTTTGCAACAAGAGGAAGTCTTTGGAGTGCATAGAGGAGAATGACAACAAAACAGGAAAGATAGGGGTTGGAGGAAGCTGAAGAGTAAAAGTAGAATAGCCGTAGTTCTGTCCAACAGCTTGTAGAGGACAGCCGCAGGTTGGGTTTCTTGAAGAAGTTAGGAAAAGCATTGTAGAATGGGAGGACAGTGAGTGCCAAGCTATGGGGGCTGGAGAGAGCCCACCATATTTGGGGAACAGTGAAGGACCAGTTTGGAGTAGGGGCTCACTTAGGATGAATTATGGAACAAATAGTTGAAAAGATATGTTGAGGTCAAATTATGGAAGAGATAATGGATAGGAAGGGGTTGGAAGGTATAAAGAAAAAGTGAAAGAGTTTGAGCAGATGTGAATGAGACCAGAGGAAAGATTTCCTAGAAATTGTGCCTGAGTAAAACAGAAAGAAAAGGAATTGAAGGGTGAGAATGAAATTTGGAAAAAAAAAAAAAAAGGAATTTGGCTTTTTCATTGTTTTTGTTATTCATTTTATAACAATTTAAACACAATAACCTGTTAGAGAAAATGAGTTGGGAAGAACGTATTTTCAGGGAAAAATGTATTATTGCAAGTATGGTAAGAGTTAAGGTTAAGGTACCTTGTTGAATAGGAAGAAAAATAGTGGGTTAGAGAAGTATTTAAAGACTGGGGCAAAAATGACTCTAGTTAATT